GCCACCGCAGCCTCGCCTGCTGGGCTCCAGCAATCCTTCCACCTCAGTCTTCCAAGTAGCTGGAACTACAGGCACGCGGTACCACGTCCGGCTAACTTTTTATTTATTGTAGTGATGAGGTATCACCAAGTTGCCCAGACAGGTCACGAACTGTATTATTTCTTATAACAGTATGCAAATCTACAATTATCTCAAATTTAAAAAAGCAACCAACTTATAAAAAATTGTTTATAAAGCTATAATTTTAGGGTCTAAGTCTCACTTAAGGTTGCCATTAAGTAATTGTGGCATTTATTACTTTTCTTCTTGATCTCTATTTGGAAAATACTACATAAGAGCAACCTTGTACAACTGAGTTTGACTGGCTTAGATGTGTCTGAACCTCTTTGAAAAAAGACAATAGTAATATGCACTTACATGTTGGTTCTATATTTTATATATTTATTTAGAATTAAGCTCAACTACTTTCCCAAAAATACAAGTGTTTATCTTACCTTGGCACCATATAAATCGGAGTTCTTCATTAAAAATTCTGCTGATGTTCGTACTGTGACTCCTGTCGTTTCGCACTGCAATACACAGTTTTCCAATGTAGTCTTACCACGGTGAATGACTGTGATGAAAACATACAGTTGACTGGTTTAAGAAGTAATGTGCCTTTTCCAATATTAGAGACACCTAGAGCTGACATTAGATATAGCCTAAATATTTCTCAAAAGCTACCTTTTAAACTTTGTTACCTAAATTACAAATTCATGTAATATAAACCAATGACTATTTTGAATTGTTGCCTAAAACTAAAAGTATCATTATTTAAAAAGAATGATTTAACCTCAGAAATGTAAAAGCACTTTTTCATTACCAAAAAAAAGTATCAGAGAGCAACTTTGTTGAATATCTTGGAAATAAGAAAAAGCTCTGATTCAAGAAAGGGGATGCAGATCCAGAAACAAACACTAGCACAGTGTGAAGATAGGTAGTTTTAGTCTAGTGCTAAATTGAATACAGAGAACACAGACCGCAACATTGGGATTTTTTTTTTTTTTAAGCAGGATTTATTAGAAAACACAGTGGGAAGGGACCTAAGGGGGTTGTTCAACATTGGAATTTGTTTTGTTTTGTTTTGATTTTAACTTTTTTCAGTTAGGGTCTCATTCTGCCGCCCAGGCTGAAGTGTAGTGGCACAATCACAGTTCACCACAACTTTGACCTCCTGGACTCAGGAGATCCTTCCATCTCAGCCTCCCAAGTAGCTGGCACTATAGGCATGCACCACCACACCCAGCTAATTTTTTAAAAAATTTTTTGTAGAAAAGAGGTCTCACTATGTAGTCTAGGCTGGTCTAGAACTCCTGTGCTCATGCAGTCCTCCTGCATCAGCCTCCCAAAGTGCTGGGATTATAAGCATGAGCTACCATACCCAGTCTTGAATGTTTTAAAAGAATAAATGATCACATAGAAAAAAACAATATTAAACTAGTAAATTTTCAAAAATACGCTAAACTGTTTTTCACTTTGGGGCAAAGATTCCTAAGTCATCATGCTACATACATAAAAACCAGACTTCCATATACAGACATACCTCAGAAATAATGCAGGTTGGGTTCCAGACTACCACAATAAAGTAAATATCGCAATAAAGTAAGTCTCATAAGTTTTCTGGTTTCTCAATACATATAAAAGTTATATTTATACTATATTGTAGTCTATTGCGTGTACAATAGCATTGTTTTAAAATGTGCATACCTTAATTTTAAAATATTTCATTTTGCTAAAACATGCTAATGAAAACCTGAGCCTTCAGTAAGCTGTAATCTTTTTGCTGATGAAGGGTCTTATCTCGATGTTAATGACTGCTGACTGACCAAAGTAGTGGTTGCTGAAGGCTGGCTGTGGCAATTTCCTAATATAAGACAACAATAAAGTTTACCTTTTTGATTGACTCTTCATTTCATGAAAGATTTCTCTGTAGCATGCATTGCTGTTTGATAGCATCTTACCTGCCATAGAACATCTTTCAAAATTGGAGTCAATCCTCTCAAAGTCTGCCACTGCTTCAAGAACTCAGTTTATGTACTATTCTAAATCTTTTCTCATTTCAACAATATTCACAGCAGGAGTATATTCCATCTCAAGAAACCACTTTCTTAGCTCATTCATAAGAAGCAATTCCTCATTCATTCAAGTTTTGTCATAAGGATATAGCAAGTCATATCTCCAGGCTCTACTTCTAAAATCTAGTTTTCTTGCTACTTCTACCACATCTGCACCAAGTCTTATATAATGTCTTTAAAGGCATCCATGAGGGTTGGAATCAACTTCTCCCAAACTCTGGTTAATGTTAATATTTTGAGCCGGGCTTGGTGGTTCAGCCTGGAATCCCAGTGTGGCAGGATGCGGCAAATGCTCAAATATATTTCTTGTATGATTGAGTGAATAAACGCAGAAACACATGTAGCTACTTGGGGATCAGCAGTTGGCCTCATGGCAATCACCTGGGATAACAAGATGTCTCCCACTAACCCTGTGGCAGGAAGGGGGGGTTGGTAGCAGTTAAAGGTATTTCCTTTTGAAAGGCAAGCTGCAACTTTAAAGACCCCAGGAACAGGGCAGGTTTTGTTTAAGAAAGGCCAAATGGCCCAGAGACTAGCCATTTCATGGAAATGCAAAAGAGTAACTAATTCACAGACTTATCCAAAACCCCTCCTCTGAAGTTGATGGTTTACAACCCAGCAGTTCCTGAAAAACCATTTGCTCTTTGAAAAATCTGATTTTTCTGAGTACAACCTTGTAAGATTCCAAAGGAAATATGTAATCACTCAACACGACCACCTCCCTTACCAAGGGTATAAGACACCACTTCTCCTGTTCTGGAGCGCTCGATTTGGATGTATTAGACCCTTGGGCCTGCTGGGATGGCCAGCATAATAAAGCGCCACTTCCCATAACAGTCTCAGTGTCACGATCTATTTTTCCTGCTACACCATCACTTTGGAAGGCTGAGGTGAGTGGATTGCCTGAGCCCGCAGGTTCGAGACCCACGTGGGCAACAAGGCGAGACCTCATCTCTACAATAAATCAAAAAATTAGCTGGGCATGGTAGCGCACGCCTGTAGTTCTGGCTACTTGGAAGGCTGAGGCAGAAGGATCACCAGAGCCCAGCAGGTCGAGGCTGCAGTGGCCAGGAGTGGCCACTGCACTCCAGTCTGGGCCACAGAGTGAGACTCCAACACACACACAAAAAAAGTTAATATTTTGACTTCCTCCTTTGAATCATGAATGTGCTCAGTGAAATCAAGAATGGTAACTCTGTCCATTGATTGTTTTCAATTGATTTTGCCCAGATCCATCAGAGCAATCATTATCGATAACAGTGATGGTCTGAGAACGTATATTTCTTAAATAACAAGACTTGAAACGTGAAATTACTGCTTGATCCAAGGGCTACAGAATGAATGTTGGGTGAGCAACATTAATCTCCTTGTACATCTTCATCAGAGCTATTGGGTGACCAGGTGCATTGTCAATGAACAGTGATATTTTGAAAGGAATCTTTTTTGCTGAGAAGTAGGTCTCAAGAATAAGCTTGAAATACTCAGTACCTTGGTCCCTCTCGCTGCCACCCCCACCCCCAAACCTAGGTATGTTCAATAAAAAGATTGCTTTCTTAGACCCCCAAAAAAGAGAAATTGTCAATAAACCATGCTATCAACAGATATGATACCATTCAAGTTTTGTTGTTCCATTAATCGAGCACAGGCAGAGTAGATGTATCATAATCCTTAGGGGCTTTAATGTTGACTCTGGCATAGCATCATACAACAAATTTAAAAAATAAAACAAAACAAGGTATTTATGCCACTGCAAAGTTTCTTGAAAACTCCCCAACTTCAGGAACCTCATAAAACACTTATCTATCCTCTCTAAAGTCTGCCACCTGTAAAACTTCATCTACATATCAACAAACCTGAAGTTTTTCACCTTCTTTTTTTTTTTTTTGAGTTGGAGTCTCACTCTGCCGCCCAGACTGGAGTGCAGTGGTCACTCCCAGCCACCGCAGCCTCGGCCTACTGGGCTCCGGCGATCCTTCCGCCTCAGCCTTCCAAGTAACTGGAACTACAGGTGTGCGCTACCACGCCCGGCTCATTTTGATTTATTGTAGAGATGCGATCTCGCCAAGTTGCCCAAGCGGGTCTCGAACCCGTGGGCTCAGGCAATCCACTCACCTCAGTCTCCCAAAGTGCAGCATTACAGGCTGAGCCACCGAGCCTGACAAGTTTTCCACCTTCTTATTTCTTAACACAATGGGGAGAAAGTACATACCATGAGACTATTTTACAAAATATCACTACAACTTTAAATACTCTTTCTCAGTCTACTGCAAATGCTCTAAAGGCTTTATCTACATCTATTAAATTCTCTTGCCCACTATTTTTAAGTTTTTATCTTTATTCTGCAATTTAAACTGCACCTAAGTCTTTTCTGGCTCTATGTCTCCAAACTAATGTTTTCAATTATTTTCTCTGCTTTCCAACATTTATACTAGCCTCTATGTATGTAAAACAAAAAAGTCATCCTAACTTTTCTGGCTCCTTCCTTTTCTGAGACCCTTCATTTCTTTTTCTTTTTTTTTTTTTTAGTTGGAGTCTCACTCTCTTGCCCAGGTTGGAGTGCAGTGGCATGCTCACAGCCACCCCAGCATTAACCTGCTGGACTCAAGTGATCCTTCAACCTCAGCCTTCCAATTAGCCAGAACTACAGGCACATGCTACCACACCCAACTAATTTTTTATTTTTATTATAGAGAGAAGGTCTCACCAAGTTGCCTGGATTGGTCTCAAACCTGCAGGCTCAGGCAATCCACTCACCTCAGCCTCCCCGAGTGCTAGATTACAGGCTGAGCCACCAAGCCCGGCCAAGACCCCCTCATTTCAATACTCCTGCTCCTAGTTACAAAACCTCCACTCTCTAATCTTTTTTTTATCAGGTTTGTCTCTTCCATGGCCAGGCGTTGTGTCTCATGCCTGTAATCTCAGCAATTTGGGAGGCAGAGGCAAGAGGATTGTCTGAGCCCAGGGGTTTGAGACCAGCCTGGGCAACTTGGCAAGACCTAGTCTCTACAACAAACCAAAAAAAATTATCCAGGCATGGTGGTGCACACCTGTAGTTCCAGCTACTTGGAATGCTGAAGTGGAAGGGATCACCTGATCCTAGCAGGTCGAGGTTGCAGTGGTCAATGAGCATGCCACTGCACTTCAGCCTGGGCAAACAGAGTGAGACTCTTTCTCAAAAAAGAAAAAGTTTGTCTCTTCCAGACTCCAACAACATCATCTCCAGATGATACTTCAACAAGGTTTCCAACCAATACCATCAAAAACTCTACTCAGCCTGGCACAGTGGCTCACACTTATAATCCCAGCACTTTGGGAGGCAGAGGGGAGAGGATTGCTTGAAGCTAGGGGTTCGAGACCAGCCTGGACAATATGGTAAGACCATGTCTCTACAATAAATCCAAAAAATTAGCTGGGCGTGGTGGCACACACCTGTACTTCCAGCAACTTGGGAGGCTGAGGTGGAAGGATCACCTGGGCCCAGCAGGATGAGGCTGTGGTG